TTCATTATGTGAAGAATTCAAGCTGATCAGCTTCCAAATATAGTAGAAGAACAGTTTAGGAGTGGGATTTCTATAAAAAGAAAAAGAAAGTTGGCAAATGATGAGACTTCTGAAGGTGAAATTAGTTTATCTGGAACTCGGAAGTTTCGTGTATTAAATTTTATACCGGTAGTTGACAAATTACAAATGTGTTTGGAAAATCGGCTTGCTGCATATAAAGCGACAGAAATGAAGTTTGGTTTTCTATCTAATTTTAAATTAGACTGTTTTTTTGTTTATAATTAAGCACAAAGCTACACAATGGGGTATCTGTGCTCTGCCCACCACGGGTATCGAAACCCGGATTCTAGCGTTATAAGTCCGCAGACATACCGCTGTGCCACTGGGGGGCTAAATGAGACTGAAATTTTTGGCTGCAGCTAAAAGACTGGGAGACATATACTCTCCAGATATAGACAGCTCTTTTCCCGATGAAATGGTACAGTTTGTAGAATATTTTGATAGTGAAACATCCTCCGCCCAACAATGTATTGCACTAACCAGAAAAAACAAACTCGAATCTGTTTTCCCTAATGTTGACGTGGAATTAAGAATATTGTGTCTACCCGCCATGAATTCCAATGCAGAGAGAGCATTTTCTAGCATGGTTAGAGTAAAAAATGAATTGCGTGCTTCGATGTTAAATGAACGCTTAAATGTCCTTTCCTTGCTCACAACAGAAATGACATTGCTTAGGCAAATAGATTATGAAGATGTAATTAGAGATTTTGCTTCCGCCAAAGCAAGGAAAAACCAAGTTTAGGGTAATGTTTTGTCATGCTTCCGTAATGTTGTATAATAACTATATCATTTTTTATCTACCTAATTCATTATTACTTGCCATGTTGTACAAGTAAATAATCATTATAATTATCATTATAATCGTTTAATTTTAATATATCATCCTTAAAAGTTATTGCATCATATTGTAATTTACTTCGAATAATTAGCTCATATTCTATAATTAATTTAATATGTATTAATTATAATTAACTTCAAATTTGCTTGTACTCTATTCAAGTGGCCTCAAAAAAAAAAAAAAAAAAAATGCGCCAGAGCCTCAATGCGGGTTTGAATATAATTGTTAAAAGTACATAACTTCAACAGTTTTATTTTCGTCACGTAATTCTTGTATTCCATGCAAGAGAATCATGACTCATCCATTCTTAACTGTTATATTTCTTGCAGAAGAACTAACACCTATATATTGAAGATTTTTATATGACGTTCATAGACACCTTAACATTATGTTGCGTCATCGAGATCACGTGACTATTCTCACGCCCTCTGCTTTCTAGAACTATCCTGTACTTTGGCGAATGCTCTAGGATTTACTAGATATAAGGTAGTCTGGTATATAAATGAGGGTGATAACATGACGGGAAATAATGTGTGTGTAGATAGTGAGTAATTGAAATGCAGTCACAGGGTATTGTTGAAGTTAACGTTCGTTCGTTATAGTGTTTGTTTTAGCGCGAATATTGAAATTAAGTGTATCGTAAAGTTTTATTCAGAAAGAATAAACCAGTTTTATTAAGTAAGGACTTGTGTCGTTAAAGTTTCGTCGGAACGAAGTTACGGAAAAATCAATTAACAAACGGAGACGTAGGAAATTGGTGTCAGAGAGTGGGATAGAAAAAAAAAAGAAAAGAAACAAGAAGAACAAGAAATTAAACAGGAAAAGAGACAAGAAGAACGAGAAGAGAAATTACAACAGTTGTTAGAGGAAAAAGAAAAGAAACAAGAAGAGAGACAACAGCAGTTGCAAGAAAACCTGCAACAATGGCAGCTCTAACAACAAAATAAACAAGAAGAGATATTACAGCAGCTGTTTGAGGAAAAAGAAAAGAAACAAGAAGAACGAGAAGAGAAATTACAGCAGTGGTTGGAGGAAAAAGAAAATAAACAAAAAGAGAGATTACAGCAGTTGTTGGAGGAAAAAGAAAAGAAACAAGACGAACGAGAAGAGAAATTACAACAGTTGTTAGAGGAAAAAGAAAAGAAACAAGACGAACGAGAAGAGAAATTACAACAATTGTTA